GACTAGTTAATTGTTTAATATTTATAAAATTATCTTCAAATGGAAGAATGGATTGAAGAATATATTCAAAGAATCTGTTGATAATCTACCCCACGATTATCAGAGTTTTGCTAGAACTTACTCCATTAATATGAGTTGACTGATATGTCAACTCATGATTGGCATATGATACTTGTTGAAATACAACAGAAAGACACAGAAAGCCTTGCCTAGTTTCTCTGTATATGACCCAGAGAATCAAGAAAGGACTAGTATTTGTACAAGGCACATAGGATATTTCTCCTGGGAACAAGGAAAATACCCTTCAGAGAATTGCTTCAGAGAATTCCTTGCCAATACTTGTCACAAGGCATGAAATTAAATCTCTGTCTTAATTGAGGTTACTATTGCTGTGATAAAACACCATGACCAAAGCAATTTGGGGAGGAAAGGGTTAATTTGACTTATACTTCCATATCAGTGTTCATTATCAAAAGAAGTCAGAACAGGAACTCAAACAGGGCAGGAACCTAGAGACAGGAGCTAATACAGTGGCCATGGAAGGGTGCTGATAACTGGCTTCCTCTCAATGGTTTGTTCAGCCTGCTTTCTTATAGAACCCAGGACTGGGCTTTTAGAACCCATCTTTCTTATAGAACCACAATGGGCTGGGCCCTTCCCCATTAGTCACTAATTAAGAAAATGCTGTACTGACATGCCTGCAGCCAAATCTTATGGAGGTGTTTTCTCAATTGGGGTTCTCTGCTCTTAGATGATTCTAGCCTGTGTCATTTTAGCATAAAATTAGACAGCACAATTGACCCTTTGTCAGTTTGACACACAATGCTTTTCTGGTTCATCTGTAAGATATCAGATTAATAAATACCATAAATATAAAACATATTACAAACTTAAAAAGTCCAGCAGTCTTTACCAATTCAAACACTTTAAAATTTAATTCTCTGTAAAAGTCCAAAGTCTCTTTTAAAATCCCCAATCTCTTAAAAATTTAACATCTCTCAACTGTGGGCTCCAGTAAAATAAAAATGAATCAAGTACTTTCCTACTTCAAGAGGGAAGAACCAGGGCACAGTCACAATCTGAACAAAGCAAACCATATTCCCCACACTGTAAATGATTCATTGTCTAATGTCTGGGACTTACTCACAATTTTCTGGGCTCCTCCAAGGGCTGGGGTCACTTCTCCAACCTTGTGCACTGCAGCACACACAGCTTGTCTTCTCCCCGTGGGCAGTCTCCACTCACTGCTGCTTCTGTTCTTGACCCCATCCCATGGTACTGGCATCTCCAAATGCTGGGGTCCTCTGCTGCAACTGGGCTGCACTTTCACCAATGGCCTCTCCTGGGCTCTCAACAGTGCCAAACCTCAGCTGCTCTCCATGACCCCTTCATGCCTTCAAAACCAGCACCACCTGAGTGATTCTTAGACTACCAAGTTTGGCTGCCAGCAGGAGGTACATACAACCTTTTCCTCCTCTGGAACACAGCTTCTGTCTGCTGACCATGAGGAAACACTTCCCAGAAGAACCTCAATAATGCTAGTCTCTTCTTAATCTTGGCTGATTCTTCAGTTCCAGCTGACCAGCATCCAGTGTCCCAGCAAAGCAAAAAGTTTCATTTTAGTGGTTCTGGTCTCTTGTTGATTCAGCTCCAAATGATCAAACTTGGCAGATTCTTCACACAAACGGCCAGGTGGAATCTTTGCTTCTTTCCTAAACCTCATAGGTCAGGTCTCCATCGTTTGTACTACTTTCAACATTCTTATCGTCTAAGCTCCTACAGAACAGTTTACTGAGGTCTCAACACTCAATGGTTCTTCTAGGCCAAAGTCCTTCCGGGATCCTCCCAAACACAACATGGTCAGGTCTGAGACAGCAATACCCCAGTATCTTGTTACCAACTTGTCTTAGATGGTGTTACTACTGCTGTGATAAAACACCATGACCAAAACAACTGGGGTAGGAAAGGGTTGATTTGGCTTACACTTCCATATCTCTGTTCACAATCAAAGGAAATCAGGACAGGAACTCAAACAGGGCAGGAACCTGGAGGTGGACACTGACGCAGAGACCATGGAAGGATGTTACTTACTGGCTTGCTCAGCCTGCTTTCTTAGAGAACCCAGGAGCAGCAACCCAAGGATGACCCCACCCACAACGTGCTGTTCACTCCCTCATCAATCACTAATTAAGACAATGTTCTACAGGCTTGTCCTTAGCCTGATCTCATTGGAAGCATTTTCTCAATTAAGGTTCTCTCCTCTCAGATGACTTTGGCCTGTGTCAAGATGACATAAAAATAGCCAGCACGGTCCCCAACAATGTCCTGTGAAAGGGTTTCTGTCTGCATCAGCAGCTTGGAAGCCACAGAGCCCTCTAGTTTAGGAAGAGGACAATTCCCCCACCTGCACCCTATATCCACAGCTCACAGTCACTTTCTTAGACTCTTAGACTGTCATTCAAAACTTATTATTTTCACCTAGCAGTCAAATGACCCTTTTATGGGGTTCCCCTAAGACCACCAGAAATATCAGCTATTTACATTATGATTCACAACAGTAGCAAAGTTACAGTTATGAAGTAGCAATGAAAATAATTTTATGGTGTGGAGGGGTAGTCACCACAACATGAGGAACTGTATGGGTAACATCATTAGGAAGGTTGAGAACCACTGTCCCAGAGAGTGACAGCAGAGGCATCTGTGAAAAGCCCCCAGTACACAAGAGCTTCAGTATTTGTGTGGGTGTTCTTGAAAGACTACAGGCCTAGAGACACCGGTCAGTACTGTGTGGCCACTCACACTGGCTCCTAAGGACCAGAATCACATTAGCACTATGGTATCCTGGGAAGCAACGTGAAGAAAGCTAGCTTTCAGCTGATGGTGATGCTGAAATGGGAATTGTAAGCTGCTTGGTGTCTGTGGTACTCTAGTTGGAAACTGTCAGGAGCAAGGGGTCATCATAAGCAATATTGCAGTGTGTGTGTGTGTGTGTGTGTGTGTGTGTGTGTGTGTGTGTGTGTGTGTGTAGGTGCACACACAGGTGACATCTTGGGAGGGTGAGATACTACTTTTGATTTAGTGCTTCTCTATGTGGGACTAAGGGCAAATGTCTTTCAGGGAGCACCGAGTTTGGAGGCCTTGGCAAATGATGGGAAACATGAACCAACCTCCAAATATTGAATTATGAAAAGTATCTTAGGGGATTTGTCCTGGGCCATATGGAGATTTATCATGGCCACATGCTTTCCTACTTTTATGCTCACTAGACAGGCCAATGCAAAGTATAGGACATCATTTTTTTCAAGAGGATTAACAGATAGCACATGCATTGTTTCCTTGTAATTGGTCTAGTGCCTGCCATGAAACATGCTGGGCTGCCAATGTGTGTGTGTGTTTCACTAACCTCAACTAATAGCCATCTTTTCTACCTGATCATACACAGTAATAAGTGGGAAAGATTTTGTCAGAATGATTGGTCACTGTTTCTAGAGATAAAGAGGGCTGGACCAAGATACACAAAAGAACTGACTGTAAAGCTCAGTTTTGATTTCTTTGGAACCTACCTCTAGAGAAGTACAAAAGATAGGAAGAAAACAGAACCAATCAAAGGCTGACAGAGGGGGCGAATGTTGGTGTGAAGAGGCAAGCGTTGGTGTGAAGGCAGCTTAATTGGAAACTATTCCCAGCAGCCAAGGTAAAAAAATTAGAAGATGAGTCAGGTAGGAAGGAGGGGTGAGGGAAGGAACCCACACAGATGTGAGGTGGTCAGAGCACATCTAGGGATCACTGGCACTCAGCTCACCCTTGGAGGCTGTGAGCATCACAGATGTGCTACACTAGCAGGATGGATGAATACAATCCCCATTTCACATGAGGCTCTTATCTGTAGGGGTCCATTCATCTCCTGGCATTTTCTGTTCATCCCATCTATGAGGCCAATGGCCAGAGCATTCTCTCTCTCTCCTTCCTTCCTTCCCTCCTTCCTTTCTTCTTCCCTCTTTTCCTTCCTCCCTCTCTCTTGCTTCCTGCAACAGGGTTTCACCATGTAGTCATAGACTGGCCTCCAACTGTTGATCTTCCTGCATCAGTGCTGGCGTGATAGGTATGAGCCATCCTGCTCAGCAGAGAATTCTCGATCACAAGCTCCGGAGTACTTTCAAGAGAAAATAGTCACTCTTTAAAGGAAAGATGAGTTGGAGAATCAGATAAAATACCAAGCACCTGCTTCAGAAGTTTAGACTGGTCTAGACTCGACTCTGACTAGAGTCTCGAGACCCTGACCGCATCATCCATATCCACTTAGAGCTGTTTCCCCACCAACACCATGGTAGAAATTTATCTCGGCCTCTGAGCTCAAAGATGCCGTTCTGACCAAGAACACCAGAGAATATAAGCTGTTCCAAGGTCCAGGAAACCCTGAGAAGAATTTCGTTAGGCGAAAGTCATCACTGAATACAAACTAAGATAAATAAAGAACCTAAAACTGGGTAAAAGTCATACTTAAGAATGTGTAGCAAGTTGGCCAATGGGAAGTATCTAGAGAAATGAAAAAGCTTAAGGCTAGACCAAATCATTAAGGGATTGGAATAGCTTATAGCTCAGAATCAAGACATTAAGAGAGAAGGGAAAGAGGGAGAAATACTGAGGGTGACATTATCAGTGGGGGAGGAAAGGATGGGGGGGAACAAAAGAGAGGGAGAGGAGGGGGGAGTGGGGAGACACAGGAGAGACAGACAGAATGAGAGAAAGGAGAGAGAAGGAGATAGAAGAGAGAATGACAGGGGGAGAGAAAGAGAGAGAGAGATAGAAGAGAGAATGACAGGGAGAGAGAGAGAGAGAGAGAGAGAGAGAGAGAGAGAGAGAGAGAGAGAGAGAGAGAGAGAGAGAGAGAGAGAGAGAGAGAGAGAGAGAGATTGAGATTGAGAGATTCTCCTTTGGGTATCGTTTGGCATATGTGTGTATATCTTGTGCTTGTGCGTATGTGTATGGCTGTTACTTAGTGGGGTTTCACTAAGTAACTGACTGCACTGGAATTGTTATGTAGATGAAGCTGGTTCCAAACTCACAGGGGTCCTCCTGTCTCGGCTTCTTGTGTGTTGGGGTTACAGACATGTACCACCACGTGGGCCCAGGGAAGACACTGATTCCAGTTGATGTTTTTAGTTCTGCTCAATAGGACATATTTACAGTGAGCAAGCGGACCTCCTATCTCCGGCTTACTAACCAGGTGGTGTATTGCTTCAGAGTTCCAAGAATTCTTTGTGTGGGCACCATCAATCACAGAACTTCCCTCTCACTAAAGTCCCCACAGAGAAGTCCCACGGCGACGGCAATTTTGGAAGCAGAGATTTTAAATCACTTCTCCCCCAGAGTGAGAATGGAAATAGTCTCAGAGCACCCATAAACCCTCCCCAAAGGCTGAGACAAGGCTAACTCTGGAGATTAGCACGGAGAGCAGAGAGAGACACGATTTCTTTCCGGTCAGCCCTTCTCCGGGAAAGGAGCACCGTGTCCACGCCCACAGAAAACCAGGCCTGCTGTCCAAGTCAGGAGCGAATCACAGAAGAAGCGGTGCGAAACTTCACAGCCTGGCGAGAAAACCCCAGTTGCGAGGAAGTGAAGCTGTGAAACGATTCCTGTATTTCAAGGAGGATGATTTTATCTTTTTTCTTCCCTTAAGTCACGGAAATAAACAATCACTTTGCTAAAAACCGTGACGAAACAGAAGTAAACACTGGGAACGCTCTTTGTACACTCGGTGCTGCTTTCCTTCCGTAGAAAAATGACGATTGTAAACAAACACCGTGGCAGGCGTGGCTTCAGGATCCAAACACAGCAAGATGGTTTCCCAACGTTGCAGACAAGACCCTGACCCGGAAGTGACTTTCCTTTGGTCACAAAGACGGGAATCTGTGATGTTTGGATGGAGGCTCTTGTCTTCTGAATTTCAGTTCATACGGCGAGTCCTGGCTGTAGCTGGTGGAGGAAGATTTCAGAAGCCAGTTTTGTTACCATAACCCTGAATATACTTTACCAGAATTCCTAGCACTTCTCTTAGATTGTTGCTATTTCCATATTAGGTACCAGAAAACCTTGACTCTGCGTTTATGTATGTGCTACAAGTGTGTCTCTCCCACTCAAGGATTTGGCTGGGGGGTGTGGAATCATATTAACATGTTGGAAACAGGTTTCACATTCATTAGTTCAGCAGTTCAGAGTCTCTGTGCCTCCTCTCTCATGTCAGTTGTGAATGATATGTGCCTTAGATTTATAGTTTCCTTATGGCACTGGTTCTCCACCTTCCTAATGCTGCAACCCTTTAATACAGTTCCTCATGTTGTGGTGACCCCAACCATAAAATTATTTTCATTGCTACTTCATAACTCTAATTTTGCTGTTATGAATTGTAATGTAAATAAATACCTGATATGTAGGATAACTGACACATGACCCAAAAGGGGTCTCAACCCACAGGTTAAGAATCACTACTCTAGAGTCTAGTGAGCAGGGCATGGGCAATAAATGGCAACTGTCACTTTTCTTTCTTACTTTCTCTCTCTCTCTCTCTCCCTCTTTTTTTTTAAAGATTGATTTATTTATGTGTACAGTGTTCTTTCTGCACTCCAGAAGAGGGCACCACCTCTCATTACAGATGGTTGTGAGCCACCATGTGGTTGCTGGGAATTGAACTCAGGACCTGTGGAAGACCAGCCAGTGCTCTTAACCTCTGAGCCATCTCCCCAGCCCCATCACTTTTATTTCTAACCCAAAGCATGTGGCTACACACTGTGTGCACACACAAAGAGTAGTGAAAACAGAGTTGCACACACTAGATGAGACACTGGAAGGAAGACACGAGGAAGGGACTGAATAGGCAGCCACAAGTCAGAGTGTTGGCGAAGAGTTTCCCCCAGCTTCCTGGAAGCCAGGAAGGCTAACCGCCAGCATGCCTTTCACTGGACTAATGGCCTCATTTCCAGCATCTTAAACTCTCCCTCAGCCTCCCCTGTGCTTGGGTAGGCAGGTGTGTGCCACCAAGATTACAATTTTCTGGATGCATAAAGAACTCTTTCAAATTGATTTTTCAAATATTATCAATAGAAGAGAAAAGGAAGGCAAATGACTGGCATAGACAATCTACAAATAAATCAGTAAAAACAGTCAAGGAATAGGTCTGCATGAATTATAATACAATATAATGGCGGCACGTGATTTAGACTGTAATCGTCCCTGTTCATTATCAAAGCACACACAGTTAAACAACATCACAAAGTAGGTGCAGATGGTGGTACAAACGGATAGAGATGGCTTGACAACCTGCTGATGATGAGGGAAGATTTAGATCGTCTTTTGAAAGATGAAGAGGTAGGCTGAGAGATGTCGAAGAGACTGAGTGCACGTTACTCCTTCAGAGGACCCAAGCTGGGTTCCCAGCATGCGCATGCTGGCTCCTAGCCACTTGTATCTTCAGTTTCAAAGGCTCTGATGCCTTCTTCTGACCTCTCCAGGCACACGCTCTTGTAGGCATGTGGTGCACATAATCTCACATAGGCAACACACACACACACACACACACACACACACACACACACACACACACACATGCAATAAAGATTTAAATTTGTTTTTAAAGATAAAGATGTGCTCCCTGGGAAGATTTGGGTAATACGTTCTGCACAGTGGGGATCATTTGAAATACACAGCTTATATGGAACAGGTAAGGATGCAACTAGTTGGAATAATGTACTTGGGGCCCATGGTGGGAGTGCAGCTTATAAGGTTAGTAGGAGGGAAATAGAGACTGTATCAAGTACTCAGCAGCTTTCTGGTGCTCTTCCTAGGAGACAGGAAACCTTCTGATGTACCCTGATAGTACTTAAAGCACACAGCTGGATTTGGGAAGCTAACAAGTGGGTGGAAAATGAACTGGATGGTCACTTAAAATTTTTAAAAATATTTAGTGCATGTGTGTGGAGTGGTGGTGGTGTGAGGAAGCCAGAACACGGATTGGATGCCCTGGAGCTGGAGTTTTAGGTGGTTGTGATCCACCTGACTTGGGTGATGTGTAGTGGACTCAGGTTCATTAGGAGAACAGCAAGCACTCTTTAAGAAGTTCTTATGGTGATGAATTTTGATGAGGTCTGGTGGCGGAGGTCTACACTCAGACACTGACAGGGACAGTAGAGACGATGACAGAATTGGATAAGGAGCTTCCTGTAGGCGCACTGAGGCAAATGATAACTTCTATAGAAGGCAAAAGTCAGTGGAATTTAAATCTAGGTTTCCATAGTAAGGTAAGGCAGGAGAGAGTGTCTTTGAATGAAAGCCTATACTGCCATCCCAATTTAGGAGACTTTAAAAAAGCATCACACAAATAACATATACTCATTTTGTTTCATAAAGGGCATATGAAGTATATCATCTCTCAGAAAGAAAGAAAAAATGGCACTGGTCTTTTTAAGATGGGTTTTTATTTTACTAGGACACGTGTGGCAGAAACTAGCCAAGTCCTACTTTCACCAGTAGTAGAGAGGGATTGCTGATGTCAGCAGATCCCTCATGTCAACAATACTGAGCAAGTGACAGGTGGTGAGGCCAGGTGATTCAAAGAACTCCGTTACCCATATTATAAATTCTGTGAAACAACCTGCCATTAGAAGAGGTCTCCAGGCTTTTGAATGAAAGGATTTATGTCATACAGACATTAAAAGGTAGTGTACTCTCAGTTTTGTAAATTCTTTTTTGACATGTCTCCATCAAAATGTTAATTTTCATGTTGCTTCATTCATTGAACCTATAATTAACATTTATCATTCTCACCCTTTATTCTAGCTATGACCAGTTATTCCATGAATGGTGGATATTGTAACATAAAAATGAAAAAGAAAATACCCAAATTTATGATCTTTTCATTCTGTGCCAAATACAGGAATTTACATATATCTTAATTTATTTAATAGCTAGAAGATGAATGGACTGATTGTAGATTAAGAAAATGAGACACAGGAAGGTTAAGTGTTAGATCTAAGATCGAAACCACAAATGGGCTGCAAATATGTTTCAATCGCAGAGGAGGTGCTTAGCACAGAACTGTGGGTTTAACTCTAAGCACAGTTAAGAACATAAAATAACAAAAGATCACATGAGGAATTGTTTTCAGCATAAAATCAAAACCTATGCTCACTATTTTCTGCTTTCTTTAGTTACTAATAATCTACCACAATACTTTGGGAGAGTGAGAGTGCTGGATGCCTATACAAAATAAACAAAAATTAATCAATAACTGAGTCATTGGAAATCTCAGAAATTGTGGATCCCATTTTATCCATGTTAGATTACAGAAATCACAGTGAAATATCCCAGCAGCCTGGGACCCATAGAATTGGGTCTAGACTCCCTGCCACTTGCTTTCGGAGGTTGATAATTGAAGTAGGCAATATTTGCATATAGGTACGGGAATGTGCAGGTTCTCTTGTACTTGGGGAAGACATGAGAATGGATATAGAATCTTGGGAAGCTAGAAAAAGATGCTTTTCTCCATCAGCTTCATCATCCACCTTAAATGCTGAGAATTGAAACCTCCTCTCAATTCCCCTGGTTAGTCGTTGAGAAGAGACTAAAGCATGGCAAGCCATGTCAGTCTGGTAGCACAGACAGGACAGGGCACAATTCACAAGGCATCCACGGGAGATTATTTCCTTGCTCTTAACACTCTCCTTTCCCCCTCCAAACAACAACAATGCAAAATGAAATAACAGATGACAGCAAGAGAAACCTCAGGGGGCACGCACAGTTATTCTACAGCCAGAAACCAGGCAGATTAATTAACCTTGTCTTTCCAAATGAACACTTAAGTTGTAGACATACAGAGCACAGCTTTGACATTTGAAATAATCAAGATACTGCCTGGACTGCATCTTAGAGAATGAAAGCTCCACCCTGGATAAGAAGCCTTAGGTACTGGCAACTAAGTGATTTTGATTTTAATTATGGGTCACTGCGCATATACATGCCAAATAGACACACAAAATCCTACTCCTACTTATAGTTAGTGGCCAACAGTTGTATTCAGTGGCTGTTTTCTATGAACTCCAAGAGGTCCCCCCAAAAATGCAATTTTTTGCCATTATGGTTGGTTGCTCACCAGAATTTGATACTAAGAATTTATTATTGAAGACTTGAATCATACACTTTGGATGCAGAACACAAAGAAACCAAGATGGAACTGGGCTGGAGGCTCCCTTACTGTTGTTTAACTTGCATAGTGCCAGAAGAGGCTATGTTGCTGGGGGTAGAAAGTCATCAATAGTCTTTTCCAGTTGTATTCCTTCTGAGCTAGAATACTGACCTCCTAGGCCAGGTGTGCTTATTGAATCAATAGTGGTTTGGTTATGATAAGGGAGAATCAACTTCCTTCTGATCAGATTTGAGGCTTGCCTCACTGTAACGAACCCATGCCTGGGACTTTAAATCTGACCAACAGCCCATGGCCAGTGTCTTAGTTACTTTTTTAATGCTGTGAGAAGACACAAGGACCAAAGCAATTTACCACAGATCACCTTTATCAGGGCTTACATTTATAGAGGGTGAGTTCATGACCACGTGTGGGAGCATAGCAGCAGACAAGCAAGCATGGCCTTGGAGCGGTAGTGAGAGCTTTCATCTGATACAAACGCAGGAGGCAGAGAGTGAGAGAGCTTACTGGGAATGACATGAGCTTTTAAAATCGTAAAGCTTTGCCCCCTTATGACGCATCTCCTCCATCATGGCCATACTTCCTAATCCTTCCCAAATAGTTCCACCAACTGGGGTCCAAGCATTCGAATTCGTAAGTCTATAGGGGCCATTTTCTTTAAAAGCACCATAGCAGGAGAGGTCAATGGCTCTAGAAGGGTACCTATTAGTAGTGGTTTTGCTAAATGGACATGTTGTTAAACTGATGTCTAATGTTTTTATTTGTACCTGTAGATCCATGCTCCTCCCCTCCTTCCTCAGAAAAGCTTCTTACAGAAACACTTGAGGCAGAGCCTTAGAACTAGCTAAAGTGCCAACAGTAAATGGTGATGGAGTGCTTAGCTACCCTGCCTTCCAAGGCTCAGGGAATGCCACAGAAGGAGGGACAGGAAGAATGCTAGAGCCAGAGGACAAGAGAGTGTGCCAGGAAAAGATCTCCTGGACATGACAGAACCATTGCCCTCGAGAATGTCTACAGCTGTGGATGCTTACGTGAGACCTGCACAGGAGTGTGCCTGTCATTTCATTGTGCACAGAAAGGGTCACAGAAGACCCCACCCCTTCCTAAAAGATCATTGGCAGCTAATGTTTGTTGGGGAGGGGTGTCATTTCATTGGTGGTACAGCTACTGAAAAGTCGTTTGTGCTCCACGAAGTAATCTCTTATCCATGATTATGCAAGCAATCTTAATTAAATTCAGTAGTCCCTGCCCCCTGACATGAAAGGTAGAGTTGGAGGAGGATTTTTTGGGAATAAGGAGGGCTTCAGTGGAATGGGTTGGAGGATGATTGAGAGTGAAGAGGGTGGGAATGACTCAAACAAGCTATACACGTTCATAAAATTCAAAGATTTTTTTTAAAAGCTTAGTGGTCTCTATCTGATAGTTATATTTTTGTCTCGGTGTAAGATTGCTTTTGTTATAGTTATATATGATGCAATCAAATAAGAATTATATAAAATTTTGTTTCAATTGAGAAAAAAAAGGCCAGTTTGAACCCAATTTATGCCATGGCAACTTCTAGAGAAATGTTGAACTTTTCTTGCATGCAAAAATAATGAAATTCTTACATTTTGATCTTGCTTCCCACATGCCTCATAAACTAATAGATTTTTATGGACTCACATGTTCACCTCAAGATCTTACTCAGCCCTAAGATGGTTTCCACCATGCTACTCCTTGAAGACTCTGTTGTTTGCTTTCTCTTTTCTTGTATACCACATGTATTTTCTCTCTCAAAGGACCAATGAAACACACCCTCTTCCCAGAGAGCTTTTCCTCCTTAGCATCTTTTCCTCTTTCTTCAGCATCATGTGTCTGTGATAGGATACATCAGGGTCAAGCAGAGATCTCTTTCTATAGTTGCCTGACTACCTGTATGTTTCTTTTTCTTCCTCCGTGAGTAGCTTAGAGTACAGGAAGTGGTATTTGCTCAATAAGCATTTGCTGAATGACATTAAATTGCCCACTGTTGACCAGAAAACAGTGGGATATAATATGGGAAGCATCAAGCTTAAAATTGCAGTGCCTCTGTTCAGATCTTGCCTTCATTGTAGAGCGCTGTAACTTAGCAAGTGTCACTGAATGTTGCTGAGCCCCCCCTTTGCATGTGCAAAGTCTGGGTAAAACATTCAACTGACAGATATATGGTTCAAATGAGTCAAGCTGACACTTTCATAAAAATATGGTACAAACTGTAAAGTTCTGTGTAAATCTTTGATGTGAAAAGCTCCTTCTAGATTTGGGACCATGTTTGATCAAGAAGGCTTGCTTCACAGGCAAATATGGAACTTTATGCTGTTATTTCAAACTAAACAAGCTGGCTGGCGTTGCTTCCTCCAACATAGACCCCCCACACATCACTTCACAGCTGGATAGAGCTTGCTTTCTGATTCAATGCCTTTTTATAGCCACTTTCCCCACAAGCCAACTAGACAGAACACACTCTTCTTACTCCTAATCAATGCCACATGTAGAACAATGAGCAATTAAGGCAAGAAAAGGGAAGAGGGCATTAATAATAGAACGCTTGATTATGTGGAGATTAGCACCTGAGATTGTGTTTGTATGCTCTGTTGGAAGGTATAATTTAATTATCTAGGTTGGGAAGGTTTGAGATGTGACAGGAAACTAATCTTCCACTTCTGCAATTACATTTTCCTTCTTTCCTCTGAAAAGTCAGAAATATTTTCAGAATGAAGTTTTTAAACATGTCCATGTGCCAGCATCAACTCTGGTGGATCCCCTCTCCTCTCTCCCAAGCATGCATCTCCTCCAGATCAGGGGCCATGAGTAATCACAAAAACTCTCACTCCTCTCTGACCTTATTCTTCTGCTTCTCTCCTTAGCCAAATGCACCACAGACATAGATAGGTCAGATGCCAACCTTGGGGAGATGTTTTGAAAGCCACACTTTTAAAATGCAGGCCAATGAAGAAACCCTGGAGAATTTAGCTTACTTAGTGTTACCTATATTAATTGAGCAATACAATACCAAGATAGTCTAATTGCAACAAGTACACTTCCATGTTCCAATTCTAAGAGCACTTGTCGTGCTTAATTTGGTTGTAAATAGCCAGAAGAGGTTAATTTATGAGATTATGAAGTAAATATGAGAAAGTAGAGCTTATACCTGTGAGGATTGACCTTCATTATTAACTGGATTTGGAATCAACTGGAGGACACACCTCGAGGCGCCATCTTTGAGAAGATTTTCATAGAACATTGACTGAGCAGACATAATACACGTGGAAGGCAGAACAAACCATCTTGTGACTTTGAGTCCTGGAGTGAATGTAAAGAGAAGAATTAAAAAGTCAGTTGAGGACCATCATTCCCTGCTCTCTGCTTTCTGGTCTTTCCAGATATGACTGCCAGTCCTAACACCATGCTCCTGCTGCCATGAACTCTGCCACGCCTTCCCTGACATGATGAACTGTACCCATGTTAACTACAAAAATTAACCTCCCACCCAACATTGCTTCCTGTCAGGCGATTGATCACAGTAATTGGGAAAGTAACTATTCTAGCATCTATGTAGCAAGGATTGGGCTCATCAACAGTGGTTATAATGGGCAGAGGCTGAGATTCCCAAACAAAATACAGAACACTAAGTTAATTTTGAACTTCAGATAACTGACACATTTTTTAGAATAAGTATCTACAAAATGCTATGTGTAGCTGGAAGTTTCTCCTGTCCTGCCTGACCCCATGGTCAGGATGAATCTCTCCCACCTGCTTCACACAGATGCTTGATCCCAAGTAAACACACAGAGGCTTATATTATTTACAAACTGTACAGCCTATGGGTCAGGATTTTTGTTAGCTAGCTCTTATAACTTAGCTCAACCCATTTCTATTAATCTATATGTTGCCATGTGGCTGTGGCATTATAGGTCTGCTAGCATCTTGTTGCTCTTTGGGTGGCAGGCTGGTGTCTCCTCTCACTTTCCTTTCCTCTCCCATCTCTTCAGTTCAAATGTCCTGCCTAACCTTATTCTGCCTCGCCATTGGCCAAACATCTTTATTTATCAACCAAACAGAGCAACACATATTCACAGCATACAGAAAGATATCCCACAGTAGCTGTGTATTGCATTTATTCTAATAAAGGTATTTGTTAGACGGGGTATGGTGGTGTACAACTTTAATTCCTGCACTTGAGAGCCAGAGGCAGGCAGACCTCTATGAGGTCAAGGCTGGCCAGGTCTACATAGTTCCAGACCAACCAGGGCTACTACATAGTGAGACCCTGGCTCCAAAGAAAAATGGCATTTGTTGTTGACCTGAAATTTAAATGCCCTGTATTATCATTTAAGAAGTATAGATACCTTATTTAGAAGAACTATACTGGAATTTAAAAAGGGGAGGTGGGGGACACGCTCAAACAAAGTTTTGTAGCCATGCCTACAGATGGATTTTTATGTCCTGCTAAGATCCTAAATCTGTAGCTACAATTGTCTGGTTTTATGATATTGAATTTCTCAACACTAGATTATAATTGCAGGTCAGTTGACTTCTCCATGATTCAGTTTATCCATCTACAAAATAAAAATCATAATAGCCTAAGTTGTCTTATTTTTTTTTCATTAAATGAATAAAACCGTGCCATGTTCTCTGATCAGGGCATGGGAAGCTCTCAGTATATACCATTGAAAAACAGCAACTTCTTTATTTCATCAGCTCAACACCATAAAGACCATAAGATGTCACATTAGATGGAATCTTGGAACAAAGCCAGGTCAGCTTGGCAGAGCAGTCTTTGAACATCATTTCACAGAGGTGTGGATTTCTATTCCCAAACTGCTCCAGTTTACCAATGTGAGGACTTAATATAAGCCATGAATGGATACAGTATCTATGGAAGATTGAGGCAGTAGCTCCACCTAGTACAGGTGAAACATTAGATCTGTACATGACAACCGAGACTGACCACACTGCTGAGAGGTGAGAGCCTGCTGAAGAGAACATTGAGATATGGATGTCTTTTGAATGAGCCAACTCATTAGCCAACCAAGGAAACACTGAAAAAAATGTTTCTCCTGTCTTTTCATGCAACGTAAACAGATGATTCAGTGACCTCAGCTCAAATGACCCCAGCCTGAACCTTTTTCCCTGCCTGAGGTTATAACCTTAGCTGGCTCTCCTTTCCTTTGGGTTGCCGGCATCCAATCTGTAGCCTGGACATGGAATCACTCACATGTTCCTCTTTTATTTCTGAAAATAAGCACATGTGGTCTTTGTGGTTTAAAGTATTTTAAATTAGTCTTTAAGAGAGCTGAATGATAGAGCCATGGCACCTCTATGTAGTCAATTAAGCACTAGAAGGGACAGATACAACTTGGATCTGCTGCAGGGCTTAAGACTACCAGCCCATGATGTGGTACTTGGTTGACCAGTTAGCCAGCTCAAGCCTCAATTTCCCTAACTACAAAAGGACAGTAATATTCCTGGCATCTCATGGGGCTTTTGTGAAATTCTCATGAAATGATACATGTGGAACAATTATGTAAACTATTAAAAACACCACAAAGCTGTTTTTATTGTTATTAACTTTCACAGTCAGTGAGAGACAGAAGTTTTGTGTGAGAGACATTACCATATGTTTCCACACACTGGATTTGGTTCATTATTCATTGTAAGAGGAACAGTCAAATTAAAACGTTAAATTCGAGTGTACTGCACTGTGTCTGAATCAAATATTTTTATTTCTGTGATGTGAGTGAAATTCAGGCTGTCACCCTTAAAAGAAAGTAAATTTCTCTAAGTTCTCCTGACTCATACACTCAGGCATTACTGCCAAACAGTGGCTGAGCTCTATGGAATTAGAAAAATTCTCTTGCTACACTCTCAGTAAGTGTAGTAAGATAATATTTTAGTTTTATATGGACAGGACATATTCACTTTATCCTCTTTGCCAATATGCGCAGGAATGCTAGAAAAATAATTAGAGCAAAATAAAGATAATAGTAACCCAAGACATGGCTTAACTTCAATTCAATGACCTTGGTTAGACCAAGTCAGAAAAACTTCCTTCCCCACAATGCTTGCTTAACAGACTTCAGAAAGGCTTATCTAAATAAGATGAGCCTTTATAGAAATATACAATGGTTAATTTAGGGTGGAGAGCATCAACTTAGCTAGGCTGTGGTATCCAGTTGTCAGGTCAAACGTGTCTAGCTATTGCTGTAGAGGCATTTTAAAAGACGTAATTAACTTTTAAATCAGTAGACATTGAATAAAACATTATGTTCCATAATTTAAGTGAGTCTCAACTAGTCAGCTAAAGGACTTTGGGAGAAAAGACTGAAGACCCACAAGAGGAAGATATTCTACCTCCAAACTGCTCACAGACTTAAGCTACCAAATCAGCTCTACCTTGGGTTCTCAGCCTGCTGAACTGTCTTGAAAGTTTCAGACTTTTGGGTCCCCAAATTATCCAATAAGGGATTTCTGTTGTAACAGTTTCACATTTTAGTCTTTAAAATGCTGGTGGTTTAAATTCAGGTCTTTTTGGAAGACCTGAAAACAAGGCAGTGAACTCATGTGGCTTGGAGTGGGGGGGTGTCTAATTGGATCAAATTATCAATAATATTTAGGACATTCTTCCTCAGGATGGTTGTCCTCCAGGGAGGAGACATTGGCTTCAGATCCTGAAAATGTGAAGGTGTTGTGGAGAAATTGGCAGTGTGCTGAGCTAATGTCAAGGACACAATGATCTATTTTGGGGATATATATATGTATATATATTTGTTTCCATAGATACCAGAGTAAAAAGACTAATTATACAAACATCTCTTCCAAATGTATTCAAATTCCATCTCTGAGTTGGTGAACCTCCCAACATCTTATTCAATTTCTTCATTTCTCTGTTAATAACATGCAAGTGCTTTATTAAGCCTGTAGCAGAGATGTCAATGAATAGAAATTTGGTACTCTATTAGCACAGAGATGGAGATATGCATCCACTTTTGTGTAGCTAGCAGTTTTGAATACATGAAAATACATACAGAAACTTTCTTGAATCTTCAGGGCTATTTACAGAATAAAAGTGAAATCAGATCTAGACATCTAGGTACCCAGAAATGTCCCACTGTCTGTTTCATAAAGGACAAAATACATAAGTATAGCTATAATACTATATAGATTACATAGTATATATAGATTACATATAGTATATATAGATTATAGTGTGTGTTTAATTTTTATAGTGTGTGTGTGTGTGTGTGTGTATGACATGCACTAGAGGAATATCAGGTATGCTACTTTATCACTCTCCAGCAGTCATGCCTGGCATCTCTGTGGTGCCACAAACTCAAATCTTCATGCTTACACAGCAAACCTTCATACCCGCTAAGGCCTCCCTCGAGCCCCTACATTTTCTTTCAGTGAGGAACTCATCCCTGTGATTCTCAAGCATCTCAGAGTTTTAGGCCCAAATGTACTATGAATGAAGTAAGGAATATGGATGGGTGGATACACAACAAACACACCCTGAATTTCATCCATTTCCCCCTTCATTTTTATCAATTTTGAGAGCTGGATTCCCGCTTTTTAAGCATGTTACTTCAAAATAGTTTTATCACTTGCTAATAAATATTTTAATTTCAATAACGTAAAGAGTGAGCTTTTTGTCATCAATATCTATTTCCAATTTCTTAGCATTTATAATATGTTAAGCAACTGTTTAGTTATTTGCCTATAATTGTGATTAGATAACAGTAAAATACCTGCATGTCAATTTTAAAACTAAACAATGTTTTTTAACTACATAAAAAAAGAAGGCAAGAAAAACTAGCAAGCAGAGAGACCTTTCTCCTAAAGACAATGCCATCTGGGAGAACTAGAAAAGGATTCTGAGTCCAAAGGTTGTTCTGTAAAATCCAATTCTGGGTAAATACTACTCAGGTAGTTCCTTTATAGCAGTGGTTCTCAACCTGTGGGTCAGGACCCCTTTGGTGTGGTTGAGCGACACTTTCACAGGGGTCTCTCAAGACCACCAAAAATGCAGATATTCAAATTATGATTCTTAACAATAGCAAACTTACAATTATGAAGTAGCAATGAAAGTAATTTTACGGCTGGAGGTCACCACAGCATGAGGAAAGGTATTAAAGGTTAGCAGCACTAGGAAGGTTGAGAACCACCGCTCCACAGGATGAAATAGCATAGCTAATGATGAGTGTTGCTGGAGCCACCATCAACCCAGCAATCACAACCCTCACGGCCGTGTTTTCCCCTTAGTGCCCAGAAATTCCTCATCTCCTAGGGTACCCATATGATGA